ATTAAACATGTGTCACGTTTTAAAATAAAGCAACAGCAATGATATTTGAGAGTGTTTCTCCTTTTCAGCGAAAAAGTATCGAAATCGCAATTCTTGACTTGGTATCGGTATCGAAACAATAATTTTGGTATCGTGACAACACTAGTCAGCATGCAACTCCACAGAGCAACAACATGAAGAGACACAGCCCCGTGGTCAGCAAATCCATCAGATCTTTCTGTAGAAATGGTTTCACACTCAACAGCTGCAGATTTACATCCCGTTTCTGCTGGCATTGTTTATCCTTGCCATGATTATGTGCATTTCTAATTTGTCTCCATCTCTAACTGTGAGACAGTGCATGAAAATCTTAACTAAGCTGGGTTGTTAAGCAAAACCAGTTGACTATAAATGTGTGATTATGCAGGAAACCAACCCTCCTATGTCGATGTAACACATCAAAGTCAATATAACACATGAGGTTATCCAGGTCTGATTCTTAGTTTGACCAATAATTGGGACTGAGCTATACTTGATATGCATTTTATATAATGTCCATGCCTTTTGTGTGACATAAATATTTTGGAATTTGATGGTTATTTCAGTGTGTGACACAATAATGTTAACTGCCAGTGTACTGCCTATATCCAGTACCAGGTGTTGTTATTAATTCCTCTCTGACGAAGACTCTTTGAGGTCAAGCCCGGTTAACATTTTAAACCGTGACTTTTATTAGAACTTTACTACTTGCTCTGCCTAAAGGGCAACCCATATAGAAGCGTTTTTTAAACACATTTTTTACGTCTCTTGCCTGACTCATGGAACAGAGGCTTCAATTAAATCAACTTTATCAATCCACATTGACAGTCACACGCATCACCACTGGACCAACTGCATTACTTATATTATAGTCCATTTCTTCCCCTCTCTAGCGTGCCCTGGTAGCCAGACAGTTACTGTGGATGCCACACAAGGTTTGAGCCCAGCAAGTGACCTGTGTTGCATGTCACGCCCACTGTTTCCCATTGGCCTCTTCACTTTTAATCTGTCCAGTAAAGCTGAATTGAATTATTGTTATTTTAAGACTATTTCATGCCATAATAATGCAAGCACAACAAATCCCAGAACTAAAATATTAACCGCATTAAAAAAGTCCAACAAGATCCAAAATCCCCCCAAAAATCCATGTAATATAAAAGTTTAAATAATATAAACATATGCTCATTCCTTCCGTGTCCTCTGTGCCATGACTTCAAGATGCTGACTATTGGAAATCATTATTATATTAAACACTTCTACCACGTGTACCACAAATAAACAGATTTTTAATCATTTCGTTAGACAGTCTGATTCAAGTTCTGCTCTTCTGCAAGAGGTCGCTCATTTTGGGGCACGTTAGGACCCCTCTCTGCACTATTCAGGACACACATCCAAAACCCCTAAACTTGTTGTTTGATTGGTTAAAAACTAGACTATATCATACACTTAAACCCGTAAATCTGAAACATTTGAAGTTAGCATGAATAGGCTGTTTGCATTATCTCACTGAGCAAACGACAACGAGCTCAAGCACGAGTAAGAGTGGACGTAAACAACGCAGACTAACGAGAGCGTCGCTCAGACACAACACATCGGGGGTCTTACACTGCCAACGAACACAGGGCTGTGGTTTTAGTAATAATAATAATAATAATAAGGTTTTGGCTCTACTGTATCAGTATCACTGTCGTTTTAACAAGCTACAATCTCCAGCTGACGAGCTTTTTGAACATATTTATCTGCTACGGTTGCTAGTTTGGTGTGTGACCCCAGAGATAAAGCTACATGTAAGCACACCTATAATCTGAGTCTAGTACATATAACTCACAGGATGCTAGCTTGTTCATAGATCTCACAGGGGCTGCTAGTGAAAGCAAAGCAGTGGGAGGTGGCCGGCCACGTTCCTGAAGAAGGCCGGAGAAAGGAGAAACGTTAGCAGGCTAACATTAGCCACCATGACCTATGGAAGAGCTTCTTCACAATATCCAGCCGCTTCTGTCAACGTACTCACCAGCTACACGAGTCTGAACGTCAACGCTATCCCTCAGAGTGGAGCCACAATGGCCGGCCTGGAGGAGAGGAAATGGCTCGGCAGACATCTGCCCGTGCAAATAACCACGAACTCTCCAGGGAAACAGGGCTCAGCTCGGCTCTATGGTGAACAAAAGTGATGCTGTAGCAGAAGGAAGAGCACCAGGCTGAAGGCTGCAGCAGGCGCGGATCCTACACGGTGGGTAGACAACGCGCATGCGCAGTTAGCCCCCCCCCCAGGAAAAGGCGCCGGGCTTGTGAGGTGCTCTGACATAAAACACATTTCCAGAGTATGCACCTATGGTAAACACTCCGGTATACAGAGAGCAGGACTACAACTGCAGACGTCAAACTTTTTTCACCAGCTCATAATATTTCAGTATTTAATTATTTATGATACCTCAAATATTATATATATATATAATATATATACTAATGGACTAATGTAATGTTCATTTTGCACTCACTGTCCATTAGGCTTAAGCTACACTTGACTAACACAAGGATATGAGGGCCTGATTAACTAACTACGGGTCCCCAGGGCAAAAATCAGCGGCTTCTATCTCTCCCAGGGTTCTTCATGTGCATTGGGTTTGTGTTAGTAACACTATTAGGCTTTTAAGTCAGGGTTAGTCTACAAGATGGGGACCATACATTAAGTGTCAGTGCTTTCATGTTATAATATGCTTTAGTGGTGCACACTGTGACTCACTTTTTCAAGTGATTAAACCACAAATCAGAATCAGAATCAGAAATACTTTAATAATCCCAGGGGGAAATTATTTTGTTACAAAACTCCAGATATACAAACAACATCTATTAAGAACAAAATAT